CGTGGCTTCTGGCTCAGTGCAGGCTGAGCAGGCTTTTCTGCAGAGCAGCTGTGCCTTTAATAAACATCAAAGGATAGCTGCATGCTTTCTTCTAAATAAAATTTAGTATCAACATGAAGGAGCAACAACACTCTCCCTTCACTCTGTCACAAGCTTGTTCCTTTTATGAGGAGCGGTCGGGGCAGAGTGGGGCTCTCTCCAACCTCCTGCGCGTGGGTAGTAGAAGCGGGGCTCACAGCAAGAGCAGTGCTCTTGCTGATAAAACCGTGCTGGGGGCTCGGGGAGGCACAGGCAGGGGATGCCTGTGAAAACCTCTAAGCCAAGCCCCAGTCCCATGTAGTCACGCTCCATAAAGAGCTATTAGATGGCTGCTCTTCTACCTTCAGTCATCTTTTTGCCTTCCAAGCATGTAGAAGTCCCTGAAAGTTGTAAAATGTTTGTTTCAAGGTGACTTAAACAAGCTTGTGAGTTGTGAGGACTTTACCCAGGCAAAGGGGCGTCCGCCTCATCCCACAACCCTGCCCATCCTTTATGCAGGGGTTCAGAAGCTGAGAGTCAGGGTTATCTCGTGTTTGAAGAACAAAGACGCAGCACAAAGGCAATAAATCTTTGTGCAGGTGAAACACAGGGTAACAAATGCCTGTGGTTTGAGCAAACTTGTCTTACCTGTAGACGGGATTACGAAATAATTCACCCGTGCGGGTGGGAGCTGCGTGCTTGAGGAGGGGGCTGGGGAGTGGCCAAGGTGGCAGGTCTCTCCTCGCCTTTCCCAGATGCTGCTGCCTCGCTGGAAGGCACCGGAGGAGAGCAGCTGCCCAGGACAAGAGTCTGCTCTGACCGACGACGGCGGCGTTCTGTTTAGCCTCCACCGCTGGAAGAGGATGAGTTTTGTGAACCTGAAGCCCGGTTTGCGCAGGGCTCACCCCCCTGTGCCCCGAGCCCCACCGCACCTCTGATGTGACGGGGCAGGGACTGGACCCTGCCCTATTTAGCTGTAAAAGAAGAAAAGCTGTAAATCAGAAAAATGGGGGGGTTTTTTGAAGCATTGCCTTAGTCTCATCCCCTCATACCGCCCAGCTCCTCCTGTTCGGGCGCTGGGTTTAGCAAGGGCCGCTCTGGGTCATGCTGGAGACACCAGACAGGTGCTTTCCCCACCAGGGCAGGGAGGCGGCCGAGCC